TCTCTCTCTCTCTCTCTCTCTCTCTCTCCACAGTTAACACAAACACACACTTTATAAATGCAAACAATACCTGTATTACAACACAATCAATATTTAGTGAGACATTGCATATGTATTGGAAAAATAAATGCATTTCATCTCATTATAAATGCTTTAAAATCGATATACATTTGACATATATTACCGGTATATTTATAGACACGTATAATAACTGTGCGTATAGTGTATTGTAGTTATAGTGTATTTTATATATAACTTTTGTGTTATCTCTACAGCGAAATAACAAACAAGAAATGTCTGAAGAGTTTGAGCGAAGTCTGAGCGCTATTTGCGAGACATGTTTCCGGGCCTTACAGGAGGCCGAGTTCAATGTGTGTGTCCACACCCACTCCCCTCCACCCCTCCCCACTATTACATTGCCATAAACTGACCATGGATGATCTAATTAACCTATGTTTTCTACCTTATTCACAGCAATTCGAGGCCCAGGAGTTGGCATTTCAGGCGCAGCCCATCGAAGGCCAGCTCAGCAAATACACGAACGTGGTTAAGGGCTGGCAGTACCGGTGGTTTGTGCTCAACCCCACCCGAGGCACTCTCGAGTATCACATGGTATGTGTGTTGTGCTGGTGTGTGGGCACCGGTATCGCCAATACCCACACCAAACACCGATCATGTGTTTAATAATGTGTTTGTATTGTTTGGCCACACAGTTAGAGGAGCGCAAGAAGTCACACCCGCGCGGGTGCGTGTATTTGGCCGGTTGTGTGGTCTCGCCGTCGGAGGAGGACTCGCAGACGTTTGTGGTGTCGGCCGCGTGCGGCGAAGTGTACAAACTGAAAGCCGCCGACGCCAAACAGCGCCAGTATTGGGTCAATAAGTTGAGACAAGTGGCGCTCAATCAGGAGAACCGTATCGCCGCACAACACCCGCCCCTAAGCGCCGGCATCACTGCCGGCGCCGTTACCACAGCCACGAGCGCGCAAATGACCGCCAGTGGCGGCACTTCACCCGCTGTTAGCACTACTGGAGTGGCGCCGACTTTTATGCGCGGCGGCGGCGGTGGCCGTCAGTTGAATACCGCGTGTACGGCGTCGCTGGAAGCGGTGCGCGACCTACTGGTGCAGACGCAGAGGAATCAGAGGGCGCTGGTGGACACCATCGAGACGCACACCTGTTCCGACGCGGAACTGTTGCTAATGAAGGCCACCAGCGCTTCCACACTCATGTCGTTGGAACAGTGTTTCGCCATTTTGCTCTCCATCCAGAGCGCGAAGGTTTAGTCCCTATCCGTCACATTCACGCCCACCGATGAGGTGTGGAGGTGTTGGGGCTGACCATCGCTTTCACTACCGGTTGCCCCCAACACCCCTGACCTTTCCCTCGTGATTACCTTAATGTCTCTTTTAAATTGTTATTGTCTTCGGCTCTGTGTCTAAGGAGCTGTCCATCAATTGGCGGTTTATTTGTGTTTATTTTTGTTATTTTTAATTAATGATTGATTGATTGTATTTTATATACATTTCTAATTTGTATTATTTATGTTATATTTTTCGTAATTATCGTACAATTTGTGTGCAATTTTGATGGCAGAGAGAGAGAGAGAGAGAGAGAGAGAGA